GATCTTGAAAGGCAGCGGTCGCGTTGCCCCTTTCTGTTACGGCTGGCTTGTATCTTTCGGTGCATAGTTCACAAAAATATATATATTATAATACATTACGGCCCGGGTAAATAACCGTGCAAGCCCCCCCCCTCTCTCTCTCTCTCTCTCTCTCTCTCTCTCTCTCTCTCTCTCTCTCTCTCACACACACACACACACACACACACACACACACACACACACACACACACACACACACACACACACACACACACACACAAACACAAACACACACACACAATACACAAACAAAACCTGCAAGAAAATAAAAAGCAAAGATACACACCGCCCGCATTGATCAGTGACAACTAGTTTTTTGTAGACTGTATGGGCTCATAGACATTGTACACGTGAGACTTGTGATTGGATTCGACACAAAAATATTCAACATTTTGATGGCAGTTCAGTGCATCTATGCTATGGTAAACACCAATAAAGCTAACATCTATTTTAGATATTGCCAGTCATGAAACATGTTTAATCTGTTCACAGTACCGACATTTTAAAAATGTTTAACTACAAAAGATAAAACATGATGAAGATAGCATACCCTGTACCTGCAGTGCCATTCAGCTACAATGATAATTCCTACAGTACACTGGCAGCTATAAAGTCAATCATCATTTGCAAAATTACAAACACACAATTCAGTGTATTCCTCATTACGATTTTTGTTCCTATTGTTCACCTCAGCAACAGTCGTCTTGCTCTTTTCAAAACCCACAATGCAGTACACCCGGCTTTTATCTATTACAGCTTAATCACCTACTAGAAATGAGAATGCAGAGTCATTCAACAAAAAATGCAAGCTAACCTGTTTTAAATATATATATATATTCATGTACAGCAACATTTTTACTGATAATATTTTATTTAAGGATTAATTTGGACCAGTGACTGATCTTGATTACTGTTAAGGCTGTTAAATTTCCAGCTTGCCAGCTAGTGTTCGATCTTTAAAATATGACTCAAACCATTGCAGGACAGTACCCTAATACAAAAAGTAGTATTTAATCTCTCAAGTAAAATGTCATGATCAATGGTACATCGAATGCAGCCGAAAGGTCCAAAAGAGTAAAAGAAGACACACCTTTTTTCATCAATCTTTAAAAATATCAGTACAGGACCTTTAGTACAATTATTCACAAAATTGTCCAATTTTAAGTTTAAGGCCGAAAAATTAAAACATTCAGGTCCTGGAATTATATCATCCACCCTTAGATCAGCCTCTGAAAATCTAATTCTTAAAACTCCAAAACAAAATTACAAAACATACGGCCAGCGTTCCTTTTTGTTCTTTGGTCCCCAGGTATGGAACGAACCACACTGCAAGACTGTTTTTCTCATAGAAATGTTTACACATATGACATGACATACACTATAGAGTAAAGGCACTATTTGCGGCCGGCCGAATTATGCAGCCACTTTCCTTATAAAAAGTAAAAAATAACGCCGGTCTTGTTTCATTTTCCAAACGGAAACCAAGCTCCCGTGATGAACAGGCATGATGTGCACAACAAAGATGGTCTTGATAGCCAGCAAAGTTTGAGAGCCCCAGTGGTTTCAAGGATTTGGTCGATCAAAATATCCCAAAGTGAAAATTTGACTGGTCACTTGTCCATGGTCATTACAAAGCTTTCTTATAATTTTTATTCGATTATAAATAATAAAATAGGTTCATGTGTTGGGGTAAAGAATAAATATCATTGTGTAAATGTCTTAACATAAAAATAAAGAAAACAAAAACGGAGACTCAGGGAGGTGGTGGCCGCATAGTCATTCCCTTATTATAAAAGAGACTTCTTGCGACTGGCGACGTCCGCAAATGGTCAACTCCCGTGGAGAAGGGGCATTGTTGTGATCAGTTGCTAACAGTACCCATTTTAAAACAGCAATTTAGATTACAAAAAATACATTTAAAAAGTCAAGTTTATAGTTCTCGACTTCAATGAGACAGATCAATCAAGACTGACTCCATCAGATTCAACGCAGTCTAAAGAAACTACCCTGTCACTTGTACCTCCTCACAGGGTGACCACCAGGCCCCGGGAACTTTAAAAGAATCGGCAAGACCCAGAATGCCCCGGGAATTTGAGTAAAACTGTAATTTGCCCTGGAAAGACCCGGGAAAATACATAAAGTTCTCAAATATTTGAAAACAAAATCTGATAAGTTCAGTAAGTTCATTTTAGCCGGTCGCCGATTGAGTTACTAAATCGGTTTTCCCGGTCTGATAACGCAACATTTGTGACATGCAGGTTGTGAATTATAAACACTGTGTTGCCACGAAAATAAATCAAGAATAGATTCTATTTGTGACTGTACTGTCACTTGGGAAAAAAAGAAAACAAAATCAAACGTAGTCTGAATTTCAGCTTGTGGGGCTCACCAACGTGACCGGTTAGTGAACCCGCGAGTGTTCGCATCACACGTCATCATGTGAGTACCTGCGGATGGATGCTGGGGTCACCAAAGTGATCAGAAGCTCAAGAGTATCAGTATCACATTGTCGGGATTCCAGACCTAAAAATATCTTTTTAGGTCAGTGGTGCGGATTCGAACCGTCAACGACGAGGCCACCCTGCCGGCATGGCTTCAGAAAATGGAAATGCGCAGTATAAATGCTATTTTATTACTTCCAAGACTCGACTGTGAAGAATCAACCAAGCCCCATGGGCCCTGCTGAACACCTGATGAGCTTGACTAACTTTACATTAAACTTTTATTGAGCTCAACACTCTAACTTGAAGTTCTGAGTAGCCTACCCAATGCACACTTCAGCATATGGGGGTGTATCTCACACTGGTGCACGAGGGGAGGGGGGATGAGGGCTCAATGAGTTAGATTCATTAAAAACCAGTTGAATCAGTGAGTAAAGTGACTGGCTACAACCCCTCCTGGCCGCTCCAATACATGATAATTCAGACATGATAATGATGCATGATGCTATTACATTCAAGACTAAAATAAGATCTCAAGTACCCACTAGTTTTTCTAGAACAGCCAAGGCAAGAGTTTGAAGGACAGACTACCGTACTAGATCTACGTCTAGATCTAAGTCTAAGTTAATTTTTTTTTTTTTTAAATCTGGATCTAGATTTTTAGTTTTGGGAGTGTATACAGACCCGGTAACTGGGAACAAAGTCACGAAGTTGTGATGAAGTATAGCCTACAGACCTGGTTGGGGAAATCCTTCGGAAAGTTTCAGCGCCCTTGTCTCAGGGTAACTACGTTCTTCTAGATCTAAGGCCTAGGTCTAGCAGACAGACATAAATCATAGATCTAGTTTCGAGGCCCAGACAAATGAAGATTGCGGAAGTCTTTTCGATGATTGAACAATCGTTTTTCCTCCGTTCTGGAGTTGGAAAAATCAAATAAGACAATTTGAAGAAAAGAGCAATGATTTGTCATTATAATTTCAATCGAGCAGTCACCCTCTCTATTTCTCTGTCTCTCTCCATCTCTCCTCTATGCATTGCTCCCCTTCTATTTCTCTATCTTCTCCCCCTCCTACTTTCCACTCTATCTTTCACTTGTTCCCTACTGTCAACTGGGGCATGTGACATTTGCTAGCACTTCCCCTGTTCTCTACCCCCTTCTCTCTCTCTCTCTCTCTCTCTCTCTCTCTCTCTCACACACACACACACACACACACATTGTCACTTCCCGAAATCACAAAAGTTAAAAGATTTCCTCTTCACGGTCTGAACGCTGAAATTTTGCGAAATCACAAAAGATTTCCCCTACCAAATCTCTATAGATCTACTTCATGACTTGGCTGGATTGTACTTTGCTGGACTAGGCTCATGATTACTACGCGCGCCTACAATGACTAACTACGCACTCATAGTTAATGATGGTTCTCTAAATGCGGAAAAGAGGTAGTTCCGCGTGCGACTTTGCTCAGAGCGCAAGGCAAGGTGAGTGAGAGATGGTGGTTGAGGGTGGGTAGGGAATTTCACTTTGGTGGACCTACCGTGTATCATACCTACAGTGAGGAGGGTCCAAAGCGAAACATGCCTGAGCTATGAAAAACGCACATTGGAATTAAATGCGAGAATCTTAACAATCGCCAAAAAGAGTAGCTCATCATGGTTATCAGAATAAAGGGCCTCTTTGAACATTAGCAGACCACCACTAGATCTCTGGTAGAAAGTAGAAAGGGGGGGGGGGGGGATTGAAGAATACCGGACCACTCATATTATTGTGCGAGAATGGGGGGGGGGGGAGAGGATTTCAGGGGGGGGGGGAGGATTTCAGGGGGGTCTCCCCCCAGACAAACTTGTCCGAGATGATTAATTGAGACAATTGAGAGATATTAAAAATTGGGGGAAATCATGTTCAGACATCTATACTATAGTCTACAGTTCAGTAGGCAGGCCTATATAATATAGATCTAGATCTAGAGACTAGACTAGGACTAAAGGCAAAAGTAGTCCCAACCCGCTGGTCCGGTGTTCTTCAATCTTACCGGGGGGTGTAGATAGGGGGTGCACGGGGGTTGACCCCCCAGCTTAAGTCACTAAAATAATAGATCTAATCTAGAAACTAGAGAAGCCTAGTTTGCGACAGTTTTTTTTAGTGCCAAAAAAAGTGCATAATCTAACTTTCCCGGCAGGTGGTCTGCTAATCTTCAATTTTTCCGAATACAGGTCATTCTAAATTGTTTTGAGAACCATTATCTGAAAACCTGTAATATTGTAACGCTGCAGAAAGCACAATTTTGAGCCTTTCAACCCCTAGACTACATCTAGATCTAGATTCTAGATCTAGATTCTAGTGATGTAAACAACGACCAGAGCGCCGCACTGTTTACATGATGATGACTCGACGCGACTTCCAGCTGCCCAGCCCAGTCAGTTCGGGTGGCGGGTGAACAATCAAAACAAAAAACTAAAATGTAACCATCCGCACTGAAAAATATAACTCTATAATCATCAGAACAAACAAATAATGCTCACAGAACTGCACAGACTTGTTATTCCCTCATCAGCTATTATCCAAGAAACGGTCAGGAGTACTCTTCCTTGTTCACAAGTGTCCAATATTTTCCTGTAGCAGCTGGTCGGCCATTTTTAGTTACAATTCGCGTCAGCGCTTAACAAATATTAAGTAAAATTTATACAACCAGCTCTGGTGATCTAATTTTATTGCAGGTTTTGCCAAATAAATTTAAAAAAGATAGAAATGTCACTTACTATTGTACATTTTGATGGTAGAGACAAAACTCAAGGACTATTTTGTTTTCTACAGCTATAAGGAGCGGAAGGCTGGGGTTATTAGTACATTAGTGCGTACAACTCCAACTAGATATTAGTACAGTTCTACCAATAACCAGACAGAGTTATTCCTACAATATTCGAATTTTGGAGGTTGTTGGAATTACGCCTAGCCTAGATCTAGTCGTTCAGAAAGTTCTCCCTTAAGTTGAGCATCAACATTAATATTTAACTTTAACAAGGCCTAAACTGGTAGGCCTAAAAGGAAAAGTTATATACTTTTATTTAAATATAGGTAGATCTAGATCCATGATATTTATGTTTCTTTGTTTTTACACAAAACCATGTGTAGAAATCTTTGAAGTCAAAACAGACAATTATTGGAAAAAATGGTTGTACAGTCGGGGGAAGAGAGAAAAAAAAAAACTTCCGGGACCGGAATTCGATCCCACACTCGAAGTATAATAATGTAGAATATACATGTATCTACTTCTTCAAAAACAGACATGCTGCCATCAAAACTATAAACAAAATAAGACAGATCGATTAAGCTTAAATATTTTTACAACACGGTTTCAGCGTAACTCACATTTTTTTTTTTTACATGGGGGGACACCATCAGTGAGGCGGCGGACATATATTATCGGATCGGCAGGTGGGGTCTGACCTAGGCTTTCCCAGAGAAAGCCTTGGATCTTGCGGAAAATTTTAAAATTTCCGCTGGCGGAAAATTGGAAACACTGAACGGGTAGACCTGTGGGCACAGAATTCTACACTTAAGTGTAGAATTCTGTGCCTGTGGGCCTATTGTATTGTACGGATAACTGTAGGCCTAGCAATTATTCGTACAACTGTGTAGCAATTGTGTGTAAAATGTTGTACGGATAACCAGACACAGTTGTTCGCACAACTGTACGGATAGTCATTCCGGAGCGGATATCTCTTTATATGTTTCCTAGCGACATCTATTGTTATAGGGGAGATAACTGCTTTTTAATGACAATAGCAAGGATCAGGACCATTTCTATGCGCGCGCAATTTTATCGAAGAAGCTAGGGGAGGGGATGGGGGTGGTTGCGAACGGATTTGATTCAAATAAAATTTAAGTTTGCCGCATATCCGGGCAACCCTTGTCATTTTCGCTCCTGCACCTGTCCTTGGAACAGGAGAACCGTATATCTTAATAATAGGCCCACGTACAGAGGTCGTGTTAAGCAGGTACATGTACTTAGAGCATAATTTGGACCTGAATATTTTACCCCATAAAAACAGTTTGTCTTCTCCTTAATATTCATTCACCAGTAGGGGGCTAATGATTAAACCTACAGCCGAGCCCAAAATAGCCGACATCATTTACCAGCAGTGGCCATTAACACAAATTGTATCTTTGCATCAAGAGATTAGGCCAGTATTACTTTATCAAAGTTGTCGGTGCGTAGGAGGGGGCCCGGGAGCCTGGACGCCAAATCTGACCCTTCCCAAAAGATTTACACTAAGGAGATAACTTTATGCCTTTCCCTTGCAATCTTTTGTCTTTCAAAACAAGAAACTTCGAGAACAGTAACGTTGTACAGGGGCGAAGTGTCTAAATAATCAAATAACCACTGCTTCCCTTCCTTGATTTGGGAACGTAGAATTTAGTTGAAGTCAAATTCACTCAGAGACACAGGCCTTTTATCATCTAAACAGACCAACAAGCAGCGTGCACAACACTCGAAACTGTTTGTCACGTAAATGCACTAGTGTTCACACCTTTCGGGCACTTCTCATAAGCAACCAGAACCACTGATTATGTAAACTAACGTTAAGACTGGCATGATATAAATTTGAATGGGTATAACGGGGGTTCTCAGACTCATAATAATCTCATGGCTGCTGTGAGTGCTTGTTTGGGGTATTTTCCCTCGACTTTGTACCACCCTATCATCAGGTCATGGCATGATTCTAGGGTAGCGGCTCGTAGCCACGGAATGAGAGACATGTCAGCTTTGTCGCCTTATTATGTAAGTGTATTCCAAGGAGCTTAAAGCAACTGTAACCTCCTTGGTGTATTCACATCTTTAGTTAAAATTATAGTTGAAAAAATCTTCAACTGAGACCACTATAAAGTTATAATTATGTAACGCTCAAAGTGGGAATAATTAGAGCCTATTTATTGAGATATTAACTCGATTATTTTAGCAAGTAAACTTACAGTTATACGAATTAAAGGTTTTTAGTTTAGTTTTAGTAGAGGTTTTACGGCGCTCGCAACTGCATAAGGTCATTCACTACTCAGTACATGTAGTACCGTCTCGAATCAGAAATTTAGTTCAAAAATATGTTTCTATAGTGGGAAAGCTTCTCGTGTGTGGTCCCATTTCTCTATCTGGTTCTTTGTCTGACTTTGATTACCCTGTCAAACCAGTCAGCCTTCGCCCCGGTTCAAGAAATGCACCCCTTGATCAGAAAACCATAATGCATTTCCGCAGTTAGCGAAAAGAAATGCTAAAGATCAAGCTTGAGGAGGCCTGGCCATAGATTTACACTAAAGGCACTTTGTGGACCTAGCCCCCTGCGTACGTTCTTACTTGAACTGCGATGAACACAACATGGTTAAAGGAAAACAAGATCATATTATTATCGCTAAGCACGTCGCACTGACCCTTCAAAAAGGCAGATCTGCACTTTCCCATGTTAGGGTGATAACATAGAGAACGCCAAAACTTATACGGCTGAATATCGACGCGGAGAGGTGCCAGTACCGGTACATGTAGATGTCTGCTTGACGCCACAGAGGGCGCCTAAAACCTAGATAGGGGGCTCTCGTGGCCTAGAGGTTAAGGTGTTGGCCTCTCATTCAAAGGTCCCGGGTTCGAATCCGGGTAGCGACAGAAAAATTTTCTTCTCTAAAATTGTCTCTTTTCACCTCCTTTCCTGCTCTCTAGCAATATTCTGTCGTCTGCTTTCGTCTCCTCTTTCTTCCCCCACCCCTTACCTCCTTTGCCCCCTCCTCTGGGCTCCTGACTCTTTCTGCAGCCTTTCTACTGCTACTCCTTGGCTCCTCTTTACTGCTGTCTTTCTGCCACACCCCTGATCTTCTGGTAGGAAAGATCTACACCTAGCCTTCTCGGACAAGGGCGAAAAATCTAGGAGGGCCCGTGTGCAAGTCGCGCACGTTAAAGATCCCTTGGTGGTCTAAAATCGATAAGAGTAGGCTTCGGCCGCCACCCGGGCAAAATTCCAAATTTCCTACCAACTGAAAATATTAGGTGTGTCCCGCGCGCTCATATGACCTATGCAGTTGCGAGCGCCGTAAAACACTTTACAAAAACTAAACTAAAACTAAAAAACCTAGATCTAGATCTAAGAAAAAAAAACCTACACCACAACACTGCTGGTATTTATGAAGCATTTAGATCTATTTGGGGGTTTTTAAAAAACCTCGAAATTCTTAAAATATTGCCATGCTTAAAATGTAATTCTGCTCGGGTTCCACCCTAATTTGACGACGCTGATTTAAAAAAATGTAAATAGTTTTGGGTCTACCGTGAAGCACCAGCTCTGAAATAGCCATTTAAAATTGACCACTGTCCAGTCGGGTGACGTCACGCAAACCGCTGAACCCGAGTTGGCGACGGCGAGACCGGCGACGGCATTGAGAGTTCGCAACCTCAGTGCTTTCTTGTCACATCTCCATTTTTAATAACAGTGAAAGCAGTTCACAACAAAGAGTGAGCTAAAGAAGAAGTTTCATTTTCACAGTTAAAAAATGGAGATACGACAAGAAAGCACTGAGGTCGCGAGTTGACAGCGAGATGCCCTTCCCAGTTTTTCGGCGTAGGCTAATAAGAATGTAGTTTGGATTCCGATAAAGCCGACATCGCCGATCCGAGCTTAACCGCATGCAGTCCGTCAGCTCTCTGTGGGGCAAGTTGGAAATCATAAGGGAATTTGTATTCATATCGGCGCTTACTGAGTCAGTCTCCGAAATCGGCGCTCTAACCGTCCTAACCACTGTAAGGGAAATTTTGAGGAAGAATAGGGCGGATAGCGGTTCCCACACTCTAGGTAGATTGAAGGAGAAGGGGACCCAAAGAGGAGAGGGGAAACACAGCCATCTGTGCGAACCAGTCCGACGGATCTCCAACCAGATTATGATGGAGACTATAAGCAGACAGACTCTGGGGTGGATCCTGAAGAGAGGAGGGGGGGGAGAGCAGAGATGGACATGTTCCGACTGCAGTGACCCCAACACAGTGGAAAAATAAGACAAGTAAGTAAGTAATCGGCATTCTCTATGTTTTCGCCCTTACGTCCATATGGGCGAAAATACATACGTGTATGTATACACTCCTTGGGTAACCTAGGAAACATTAAAAGTTCATAGAAGCCATTTTGCCGGCACGGTACGGTGCTTTGTTTCCGGAACATGTAGTCGCTTAAGATAAGATAAGATAGGGAGCTCGGTGGGGTCTAGAGGTTACGTTGTTCACTGTTTATTCAATATATAGGTACCGGATTCGAAACCTGACTGCGACGGAAAATTTTGGTCTAAAAAAATTCTGCGCGCTTCTTCCTTTCCTGCTCTCTAAGTTCTGTCGTCTGCTGTCGTTTCCACCTTCTGCCGCCATCCCTATCCCCATCCCCCTTTGCCCCCACCTCTGGGCTCTGGACTCTTTCTGCAGCCTTTCTACTGCTACTCCCCGGTCCTTCCTAATGGCGATTTAGACGCTGCGATCGGACGCTAGGTTCTGTCCCTAGAGGTCCAACGCCATGTCCTAGGGGATGAACGTAGGTGTTGGAGGAAGAACTCTAGGGACGAGGGACAAAATTTACTTCCCTCAGGGCCGATCCCTGATATCAAGCGGTGCTTGATATTTTCGGGCCCCA